TGCAGACTCTGCTGGTGGGGAACATTGCCTCTTGGATCTTGGCCTTTCCATGGAAACATCACATTCACATGCCGCAAGGCTGGGGTTGCCAAGACGTGGGGTCCACCAACCAGCTCCAGCTGTGTTGTTATGGAAACAACATTCTACGTGAGCTCCAGGATATTGAGTGGCATTAGCAAAGGCAGCACAACGGAGACGTCTTCTGCAGGCTGATAGCCAGGCTGTGCTCATGATTGTTCCCTTCACTCCCTTCCTGCCATCGCTCTGGTGCTCACGTCCATCATTTATTTGCACCTTTGCTGCATAGTGGGATAGTGTCATGATGACAATCTAGCTAGCTTAGGTACTGACCTGTGATAACTGATGCGCCTCTTAATTGAGTAGCTGCTAAGGGCATTGGCCTGGCCCCTGAGCCCATCATCTGCTCTTGACATTCTTGCTCCAAGTGCCGCCAGGTTTTCAGCATGTCACTGTTGCTATTAGTTGTTCAGTAGAGCTTTTGGGTGGAGGAGTGGAGTAGAGAAGGGCTTTGCTAGTGTATGCTTGTCCCCATTCTGCTTCCTGTTCCCGCTGTGAATGACCACTATCCACTCTCTTCTGAGCCCCTCTTCTAGATTAAATCTGGTTTTGACTTTTCTCTTCAGAGCTACTCTCACACAGTATGGGCAACATAGTAACACCCTCTTAGGGTGATGCTATACTTTCAAGTGGAATGACTTTTTCTGAGTCAAATCCTACTGATTTTACTCCAGTAAAACTTCCTTTGAGTTTAGAAAAGACTTGGGCCTGAGTGGGGGCAGGAGCTCAGGATATGACCCAAGTGACATCTGGTCTCGATCTTGACCAGAGCTGCTGTTCAGGGCATCCTAAGAAGTGCAACTTCCATTCAATCTCAGATTTCACTGCATCTGAGCCCATTGCCCCCCTTCCTCCCTTTTTCAAATGTCCTTGTTGCCATCATAAACACTGGTAATCCCCAGGGTTAGCATCAAATTGCAAAATCCCACTGAGTTAAGTGGAATTTCACTTTTGATCTCAGTTCCCTCTGGGCTGAGAAAACAGAAACATGCACCCATGACACAAACTGTCCTTTTCCCCCTGGTTGAACCTTTCATCTACTGTGATAATTCAGTGAGCAAGCCCCCTGGGACCCAAAGAAAGGATTTGCTTATTTCTATAAAAATGATCACATTTCTTCATTAAACTGATCAGCATCGGGATTCAAATGACTTTCCCCCAGACTTCTTAAAACACAAGTCAAGTTCCCTTGTCTCCCACTTGAAAAATAATTATTCTCTGTTTTGAAAAAGGGTCTTCTTTGTGTCCTACAGGGCAAGTGCAATTTCCCATTTAGTTTGCTCTGGCAAGGAGCAAATCCTAGGCTTCTGCAGGCCTTAGGTACTGAATACCTGAGGTTTACTTCCTTCACTGCAGTTTAAATGAGAAATGCTGCTGGATTGAGGCCCTTGAAAGCTGATATTGTTATCTATAGAACAGGTACAAGGGCACAAGTTTCCCATTCACTGCTCTGCCCCATGACTCTTGTGATGAAATGGCTCCTTCCTAGCCTGTCTCATGGGAAAGAAGGAAGAGGGATGTCATATATTACAGCCAGTTCCCTTCCTGGCTGTTCTTCCCTATCCTGCTGTTGGGATCTGCTGAGCTTCCCCCACTGACATGGAGGATAGCGGGGAGGACTGATTTTATTCAGTCTTCACTCAGGCAAAAGTCTGTTTGGGTAAGAATTTGACATGAGCAAAAACTATGTGAAAGCTGAGCAGTTGCTCAGGATTACGCTAGCCACTGTGCTGAACTATTACCCAGGGTAAAGAGGGGTAAAGATGGAAGGCTTTACAGCTCTGAAAGCACAGTCGGGGGTATGTGATTTCCCGGTATTGCCCATGTCAGAAGCTATAGTTTCACTTACAGTCTGAATGAACCACAGCTTAAAAGCAAACTGAACAATTGCTTGCTGGGAACAGCTTATCACTGTAGGATCAGTCTTCTAAGGGCAGAGTGAGTAAATATCTGATTCTTTTAAAAATATAGCACCTCAGCTAGTCATGTGCCATACTGCAGTATGATTCACTGCAGTTTGACAGAATAATCAGAGATAGGTCCAGAACACCTTCAACACGCCAGCCAAGATAAGAAAACTTCTTTTTTCTCCCATTCCTTTACATTTTCTCTCCCATTGCTCTTTTTTATTCAGCCCTGGAAAGCTATGGACCACGTGCTTTGTATAGAAAGAACAATCTGAATTAACTCTGTCCCAGAACTACATTTGGCAGGGCTTTATTCATTCTGTTTCCAAATGATGGGGCTTCTCGTTCTCCTTCTTTCTCAGTCAGCAAGTATTTGATGGACTGAAGTCGGAGCTGTTAGAAAGAGGGATTTAGCTTAAGGAGCAGGTTCCAAGAAGAGGTTCAAATTCTGAAAAGTAGCTTGGAAAGAGATGTAATGAATCTGATGGCTCCCTACATGTATAGATCACTGCATGCCTGTATTCTTTCTGGCAGCACTTTGTGCCTCCTACTCCTACCAAGAGTAGCGATAATTTGCACATATGGCTGTAGAGAGGATATCTCAGGGTCAGAAAATAAAGACTACACCTCCTGAATGTGAAGCCACCCCTTATTAATATCTTCATTGACTCCTTTATGGAAAGCCTGAGAAGGAGTCTCTCAGCAAGAGGTCGAGGAGCCATTATAGGATTACCCAGCTTTTGCCCTGCCTTCCCATTGCTGGTTTCAGGTTTCTTGATGTGATGGTTGTGCCTGATGTTTGTTCACCACTAGCCATCATTAGAATCATGCAAGGTTGCAGTTGTATCTGAATGGCTTCCCAGTCCTTCAGAGTGACAAACACTTCTCCTTTAATTGCTACAGAATTAATGATTTCCTACCACTTACGGTGGAAGGAAAATCTGTCACTTAAAGCAGCTAATGAAAGGATCAGATAACAGTATTTAATATGAAGGCCTTTCCCAAAGCTTTGATTGACACCCTCGCATTTTATGTGAAAGATACCACCTCATCTGTCCACGCTGCATTGTAGCATGGGAATAGCTGTCTAGCCACACCCTACCTTAAAAGCAGTTTCACTTGTTCTCCATTCCAGCACAACAAAACCTCACTTAAAAGGCCCTCATACTTGTCTTGCACATTTTCCCTATAGGTTTAAATATGTTGCAGAATGTACAGTTTCACTTGGAGAATTTTACCTTTAACCTCTTCAGGAAGAAGAGGTAACATCTGACATGAAGCTGTGCTAGGACACTGTAAAGTACTAAGAAATCAGTTCAGATCAATAATCCTTTATACATGCACCATCTACATGGAGAGACCCCAACACATTGAGTGAACAACAGGCCCATTCCAAAGACCTTACTTACACTTAGGCAGAACATTTAGACCTTGTGGGAGCTTAGCATGAAGAAGGAAGGTATAAAATCTGAACTGAGATATCAGCATCTCTTCAGAGAAGCCTACCAAGTTTTGGGTCTCTCTCTCTCAACACTGAAAAGACTAAAGTGCTCTATCAGGCTTCTCTGGGCCATGAATGTGTCCTTCCCTCCCCAAATTACCATTGAGGGAAAGAACCTGGAGGTAAGTCGAGCACTTCTCTACCTCAGTAGTCACCTCCCTCAGAGAGTGAACATTGATGAGGAGATCCAGCACAGGTTCCTGTGCAAGTGCCTTCTTTAGGAAATTGCTTTGGAATTCTTTATTCATCCTGATCTCCAGAAAGACACCAAGATCCAGGTCTGCAATGTAGTCATCATCCCCACTCCACAGATGTGAAATATGGGTGACCTACAGTTGTCATCTCAAGAGCCTGGAGAGGTTCCACCAACAACGCCTCTGGAAAAACCTCCACATCAAATGGGAAGATCACTGCACAAATGCCAGCATCCTTGCTAAAGCCAGCGTTACCAGCATTGGGTTGGTGATCCTCAAGCACCATCTTTGCTAGACCAGACATTAAGTGACGATACCTGATTCTGAGCTCCCAAAACAAGTGCTCCAGTCCCAGCTTACTAATGGCCTGAGATCTCATGGTGGCCAGAGGAAATACTACAAGGACACATTAAAGGTATACATCAAAAAAAGGATGCCAGCATCAAGAGTTGGGAGGAGCTGGCTACCGACTGACCCCAGCAGGGACGAGAGCATGAAAGAAAGAAAAAAAGAGGAATCCCTGCCTGCAGCCTACGTCTCCCCTGCAGAAAAACCTGCAACTTCTGTAGATGGATCTGTGGCTCAAAGATTGGGCTCTTAAATCACCTCAGGACCCATCAAGGAGCTGTGGCAGCGATCATCCTCAAATCAAGGGATTGCCACCAACAACATACCAGGAGCTGCCTATGCATTGCAGGGACTTGGACAGCCAGCATATTCTGCCCATCAGTTGAGAGGGTTAGGGTGGTGACGAGGACCTTTTTGGCTATAGAAAGCAGAGAAAATCCCTCAAGTTTTACAAGAGGTGACAAAGGATCTTTTATCCTTGACACAAAGCAGGTAGATGTGCCCCCTGGCAAATACACACACAGGGATTCACTGCATAGCATTTGATGTATTTACCTGAAGTGGGCCAGGGCTTGTATTGTCCTTGGCTGTTTTAAGGATTATGGAAGCCCTGGGCACTGTGTTAATTAATCATGTGGCAGATATCACAGCGATTGTGCCTGAGCATGTGGCTTTTGACTCATCTGTGTGCTTGTCCTGTGGTTCCCTCTTCATTTTGCACCCTTCAGTGTCTGTGCTCACCCTGCTGAAGGGTCTAGTGGCCCTTTTAAACTGGGGTTACCAGGGTCTTGGCTCCATGGGCCTATGGCTTAACATACACTTATGTTAACTCTGCCTAGGTGTTTCCAGTTTGAGTCTTATAGCACGAAACCCTTCCCATTTGTGGTTTAGAACTGTAACTATTGCACACACCAGGTGATAACGCAGCAATCATATAAAATGAAGATAAGACGACCTTGGCTTATTATGAAAATTAGTAATCTTAATTTACTTGATAAAAGGAACAACATAAAAAAGTTTATATTGTACAAGAGAGACACAAGTGCAGTGCAGTATTATTCTAAGCTCCAGTTCTTAATGCTACTGATTATTAGCTCCTCACTTCATTTCCCAGGCCAGTGAGAAGTGCAAGGAAACACAACAAGAAAAATCTGCTGAAAGAAGAAAGGATCCTGGCTGGAGATAAGGGGTTGGATTGTACACAGACTAATTAGAGTATCCTCTTGCAAATGTTTACCTACAAGTATTGATAGAAACAGTTGCAACAAACCAGCAGTACAGCAGTAGCAGCCATCCGTGTGATGCCGCCTTTCTTTAGTTAGTCTTCACTGGTCAGTCCTCATTTAAGGCACAAACATTGAACTTGGAGAATACACACCAGATAATTAAGTCACTTCTACAAGTTCAGGAGGGAGGACGATGTGCTAGGTATTAAACTGATGTTACGCTGACCCTAGCCAAGTGTACCTTGGACTAGCCACTGTTCTTATGTGAGGTTGCACAAGATGCTCTGGTAAGCCCCCCTTGGATAGTAGCCATCTGCACGCTCTAAAACTATTATGTCCCTTATCAGTATCTGAGAAATGATGGAGCATGAGAGCCCATCTGAACAAGGCTTGTTTTGAGCCTTGCACTCCTTTACAACTGAATCTCCCCAAGGTTTGGGCATATGTAGATCTGGGGCTTGGTGCTGAAAGACAGGACTCAACTCTGTAAAGTGGATTCTGCTCCAAACTCTCCTCATATTTTGAGACTGCTGAGTCTCGGGTTGGAGTTTCAGCCCTGTTGCGGGTTTTAAAGTGGGCTGAATTTGAATCTGGAAATGTCTAAAAAATATAGAGGTATTATTAAAGTGCAAACACAATGGAGAGTTCCTGGAAGCAATGACATTAAAGAAACCTATGCCTATAATAGCATAATCATGAGCATGCTGTGGAAACTTGGTGACAGATTCAAACCCATGTAGACATGCTGACCAGTGCCTTACTCCACACTTATATTTATTTCAGTGGTACTATGTGCAGAAAAAGACACTACTATTGCAAATCAGGTTGGCAGAATCTAGCTCTTAGATATCATTCATCACTTTGCTAGCACACCAGTGTGTTTTCATCCAATGCACGCTCCCACTGTAACTTTAAATCCAAGTCTCTGAAGAACATAGCGAGGGACATGTCACTGTCCTGGGCTGAGCCAGAGGCCTGAGTTGCAGTGCTGCTCAGGTCTGTGCAGGCTGACTCTTTTGCTGTTCTTAGCACATATGTTGTTTGCAAGTCTGGGGGCGGCAGTTTGTCTTCTGAATGTGACAATGAATCTAATCGCATCTTGTGCAGTGCGCTGTCTTCTCCAGGGAGATCATCACAGGTACCAACTGAAAGGTGACAGGGTGAGGATAAAGGCAACAGAGTTCCAGTTTCTGGGACAAAGTTTGTGTCCAGTGTCATGGAGGACAGTAATGGCAGCAGTTCCACAGTCTGCTGTCTGTAAGCTCCTCCTCCTTCCAGCAAAGACAAAGGTAGCTGAGGCACATACAGCTCAGCTTCGTCCTTGTTCACCTGGAATTGAAGCTGCTGGGCTTGCCCTGTGCTTCCCAACAAGAAGGCTGGTCCCCTTATATCATTGCTCTCCCATAATGGTTTCTCCACCAGCGCTGGGCTCTGCTCCCTGTAGGTTTCTTTAGACGATGTCCTGCTTGGAGTCTGGATTATAAATTTGTCACAGACAAACCTCTCAGGGGAAACATCCTTCATTGTCTGGTTTGTGTCTTCAAGGCAGACCCCATAGGTCGGGGCCAGAGGTTTGTTCTTTGTTTTACATGGTAAGCTGTCCTCGGTTACTCTCTTGGAAGGAAAATCCCCGGCCCAGTCAGGCAGCTGAGCAATGGGCTGGGATGCTGACATTTTGGCTTGCTGTTGATAGGCAGTTTCTGGTGAACCAAATGAATGTGGCTGCTCCAGACACAGGCTAATGCTTGGTAATGACACATCTGAGGTGAGCAAAGCAGGTTTGCATGAAACATGCTCCACTGTGAGCGTGAGAGGCTGGAAAGGTGGAATCCCTTTGAAATCCTGTAGCAAGACAAATATTAAATCAGTTACATTGAGCCTGTGAATTTTCAGGGGTTGCTTTATATTAGAGCAAAATCCCTTTGAAAAAATGTTAATAGGACCTTGTGATCTGCTTTGCTGGATCTGATCCATGGACCCAGGAGCTCTGGGATCCTACCTCTCACAATGACGCTTCACTAGAAGGCAAGCATCCTGCCTCACAATGCAGAACAACTGCACAATCCTGGATGTAGGAGAAAATTCTTTCCTTTCCTGTGCAGTGATTTGCTTCAACCCCAGAACATGGAAATAGATTGCCCTGCAGGACTACCAATGCAGGACTACTAACTTACCATGCAGGACTACCAATACTGCTCTGGGCTAGGGCTAGAGAAGTGGGCAAAAGATTCCGAAAGTGACTAGTGGCCAGTGATTTGGGGTGCCTTCATTTTGAGCTCCACAACTTGCTATATCATTAATGGTGCCCAATTTTCAGAAAGTAGTGAGCACCTATTTTTCCTAAAATCAAGTCTCTTTAAATTCTGGCCAGTCAGGCACCCAGAGTCACTAGGGGCTTTTGAAAATTCTGGTTATAAAGACAAATGAAAACGGAAACCCTGATTTTTGACATCTACTGGCAGCTTACCTCAAACCCTGCCTTCTTCTCAGAAAAATAAACCTCCTTCCTTAGTTTTGTAGCCTAACTCAGATTCTTCAGACCTGCTAACATCTGTGTTACCCTAGCAGTCTGCATTTCTCCATGACACAAAGAGAAGTCTTTTCTGTGTAGGCTCACCAGACTGCCTTGCCATGGGAGACTAACAAATGCCTCATATAGTTACTTCTGCTATACAGTTATCTTCCTCAATTGGTGATGTCATTATTCTATTAAGCATTTTAGGGATTTACTGCCATGACTTAAGGACACTTACCAAAGACTTTGGCTGTGCAGTGTGTTGTTTCACATACATATATATCACATAACATGTTGCAGCAAACAGCAAACCAGCAGCGAATATAAGTGATCCAAAACAGTAGAGCAGCCAGGTATTATCTGGTCAGTGGGGGGAAAAAAGTCCACAACATTTAATTCCAGAGAGAGAGACTGGAAATAATTTATTGGCAATCTAGTCCAATATAATTCTTAAATTTAGAACTCTTAAGACTTAATTGTGCCATTAAGCACTAGACTCCCTATTATTGCTAATTATGACCAAAACTTCCTGTTCGTTTCTCATGAACTGCCGAGAATAACTGATCGCTCTCTTTTTTAAAACTCAATTGCAACGTCTCCTCTAGACTGAACATGCCCATCACTCCACAGCCACCTCTTATTGCCCCAAGTGAAAGTACATTTTAAAAACAAAACCATGAATCATTCACTAGCGGGTAATTTGGAATACAGTTCAGAGAATAACAGCCATAATTTGGTTGCTCATGTTCATGTGCCCCTGATAAGCTGCAATCAAGGAAGTGAAACTCTTTGTAGCTCATTCACCAGTCAAAAATCTTAAAAATACAGTCCAGAAAATTTTTGAGATGCTGATGAGAAACAAGGAGCTAAAAATGTCCTTTGGTAATGGAGCAAACAGACATACAGGTATATAAATCAGACCAACTAATAAACAACTCTGGCAGAGAATTAGAACGTTAACTAATGCTCCCTACCAATTATTACTTAGTATGAAAACATTACTTAAATAAGAGGTCCTGTGAACACCACATCTGTCCACCCATTACAATCACCTCCACTCACTCCTATTTATGGGTGATCACATGGATGATCTTTCCTTGGAGTGTCTCCAAGTCTACTCCAGTAATGACTTACATACGAGAGTAACAGCAGGGAAATATTTCATTTATTTTAGCTTCTTTCATGGCCAGTTTGACAGGCGGAAGGGAAATGAGGAGATAGGTCAGCACCATGGACCCATTTACTTCTCTTTGGGCCAATTGCTAGTGCTATACAGGCCTGCAGTGTTCCTCTGATCGCAGCTGTAGAATCACTGGCCAATAGGATCAGGGTCATGATCACGATCAACGCCTTTTCCTTATATGTCACCTTGTGCAACCTTTGCCCAGGTGAATAGCAATCAGTATTAAGGTACCAGACCCACAGGTATGTGGCCCTGAAAGACTCACAGAGCTAGATTCTAAGCTGGGAAAGTCAATATAGTTCCAGTGGCTGTAGTGGAACTATACCAGTTTACACCAGCAGAAAATCTTGCCCATAATGTGTACTTGATATCCCAATGGAACCTGTAATTCAGAGGCGCAGATTTAGTAGCCTAACCTGGCAGTGTTCTAGCCTCAAACACTTGGGATTTGCTCCTTTTCTGTACGTGCTCGATATATATTGTCCCGTTATATCCAGTGTCTGGTTCCAAGTGGAAAACTTCAAATTCTTTGTTGTCTTCCGTCTTTGTCCACTGCTTAAAGAAAGGAAAGAAAGATTTGTACTTTAGAGAGGCTAAATTATAAAACTACCTTGATTCGACTTGCAAAATTCAACATGCATCTCATAACTTTACAAATGCAATCCTTACCAGACTCATTTACCAATAACTCCTAAGTTTAGAACCACCTGGTATTTTATTTCATGATTATACTGTTCACTTTTTGCATTTCACTTTCTGGAGGCAATGAAACCAGATCACAGTTTCACATTTTGGCTCTCATGTGGAAGCCCAGAAGTTGGGTTTGGGTTGCTGACACTTGAAAGGAATAATGACAGATCTGATCTCTCCTTTGAAAATTATTTTGTTTATCAGAAACCCCATTCACCATGCATTGATTTTGATGTCTTATTCATGCCAGGTTTTACCAAAGCCAAAAGTTAGTGGTCACGATTTACCTCTTGTCGAGTGCTTTGGCTGAAAATTGTCATATGGTACTCAACAGTGCTATAGATGTCCTCAACAGTTAGCTGCTGGTCATCTTTGTCCTTGAGTGGTGTGTAGGGAGGCTGAATGAGAAACTTTATGGATCGAACATTAGGAATATACTTCACCTCTGGTGCCCCAATATTAGCTAGAAATGATAAAGCAGGAAAAGTAATTTAATGAGATTGAAGGTGATGAGTTACTGGCACATCTATGTGGTGAATATCGCTGAAAATTGTCATATGGTACTCAACAGTGCTATAGATGTCCTCAACAGTTAGCTGCTGGTCATCTTTGTCCTTGAGTGGTGTGTAGGGAGGCTGAATGAGAAACTTTATGGATCGAACATTAGGAATATACTTCACCTCTGGTGCCCCAATATTAGCTAGAAATGATAAAGCAGGAAAAGTAATTTAATGAGATTGAAGGTGATGAGTTACTGGCACATCTATGTGGTGAATATCACTATTTTTGGCTAAAATGTTGTACCATCTAGATATGCCAGATGGACTTGAGACCCCCGTATGGCTTTCACACTTTGGCCTGTATTGCTAACTCCTCAACCAGTCCACAAAGGAGCTTGACTGCATTTTATGCTTATGGTTAATGAAGTGCAGGTGTTACACCCAGCAGTTACGGTAAGGTTTAATTCAGCCCATGACCATATAATTTGAAAGCAGCCTGCATTAGCTCTTTGATACCACAAGCCTTAAAAAGTCAAGTGAATGGCCTTGATATATAGTATAAATTCAGCTGTGTTGTGCTTCGGTGAAAAGAATATTTTAATAATTAAGGCTATCATGTGGCTCTTTTGTAGTGTGTTTGTGGAAGGCTCTCAGTCTTCTTCCCAAGCATTGTGTTCAAATGCCTCCATGAACCAGACATAGTCATCATTCTCCCGATGTTACGAAAAGGAGAATTGAAGTACAGAGACACTGAGGCACTTGCCCAAGGTTAAACTGCACATCAGTGACAGAGATGCACTCTGGGGTTTGGCACTTGAAGCGTGCAGCATAAGCCTGGCTGCTGATCCTAACCACCAAGAGCTCTGTTATCTCACAGCCTCCAGGGACAGATCACTGGCTGCTTGTAGGCTCCCCATCCAGCCCATCTTTGTTGTCCCTTGTATTTCCTCTCTCCCAGCTGTTCCCAAACTTTCTAGGTATGCAACCCCAATCCTAGGTTTACAACCACACCTTGTGGTACAAGCCTGATTTTTCCAGTAGCATTTCAGGACCCATTTGGGACTGTGATCTCTAGTTTAGGAACCACTGCTCTATTCCTTCAAAGCAGGCCACAAATGTCTTTTATCCAGCATCACTTTGGCTACAAACTTCAGGGTAGGCCTTAGCACCTTCTCATACTCCCAGCCCCCTCCTCCCCCCCACCTCCAGCAGCACAGTCCCTTTCAGAGTTGAAAAGCTGGCAACCTTGTTCCTGTAGACAAATCTGGGCTTGCAACACTGGTCACTGCAAATGGCAGCAGGACGGAGCCTGCAAGTGTCAATGGATTCCACAGAGCCACTTACTATCCTGTTTGGGTGTAAATCTCTGGGAGCAGACCCAGTCCGAGGAGTAGCCGTTCGGTGCCATGGCCTGCACTCTGGCGTAGTACTGCTCAGTGTAGTTTTCCGTCTCATGCGAGAGGTTACAAAAGGGCTGTGAGATGTTCTGGCACTCGGTTTTGTTGAGCCATTCTTTCTCCCCATATCTTAGAGAAGACAAAGTGAATGCTTTCAATCTGCCATATGAAATCAATCCTATATAGTCCCTAAATATTTAAGAACTGAATTTTATAAGCATGAGTGCACTCTGCCTCACAGTGTGCATGTGAAGTGTCATTTCCACCTCTGCCATTATACAGATGGAGAAACCGAGGCACAGAAAGGAAATGACTCACCCCAAAGTCAGTAGCCAATCCAGGACCCAGATGACATAGATTCCAGACTCAAAGTGGTTTTGAACCATCTATGAATGAATCGGTATGCATACTTGGGGCATAATTTCTGGGTCTTTTAAAAGTCCTTTTTTCAGATTCTGATGAGAGTGGAAAGTCAATATAGTTCCAGTGGCTGTAGTGGAACTATACCAGTTTACACCAGCAGAAAATCTTGCCCATAATGTGTACTTGATATCCCAATGGAACCTGTAATTCAGAGGCGCAGATTTAGTAGCCTAACCTGGCAGTGTTCTAGCCTCAAACACTTGGGATTTGCTCCTTTTCTGTACGTGCTCGATATATATTGTCCCGTTATATCCAGTGTCTGGTTCCAAGTGGAAAACTTCAAATTCTTTGTTGTCTTCCGTCTTTGTCCACTGCTTAAAGAAAGGAAAGAAAGATTTGTACTTTAGAGAGGCTAAATTATAAAACTACCTTGATTCGACTTGCAAAATTCAACATGCATCTCATAACTTTACAAATGCAATCCTTACCAGACTCATTTACCAATAACTCCTAAGTTTAGAACCACCTGGTATTTTATTTCATGATTATACTGTTCACTTTTTGCATTTCACTTTCTGGAGGCAATGAAACCAGATCACAGTTTCACATTTTGGCTCTCATGTGGAAGCCCAGAAGTTGGGTTTGGGTTGCTGACACTTGAAAGGAATAATGACAGATCTGATCTCTCCTTTGAAAATTATTTTGTTTATCAGAAACCCCATTCACCATGCATTGATTTTGATGTCTTATTCATGCCAGGTTTTACCAAAGCCAAAAGTTAGTGGTCACGATTTACCTCTTGTCGAGTGCTTTGGCTGAAAATTGTCATATGGTACTCAACAGTGCTATAGATGTCCTCAACAGTTAGCTGCTGGTCATCTTTGTCCTTGAGTGGTGTGTAGGGAGGCTGAATGAGAAACTTTATGGATCGAACATTAGGAATATACTTCACCTCTGGTGCCCCAATATTAGCTGGAAACGATAAAGCAGGAAAAGTAATTTAATGAGATTGAAGGTGATGAGTTACTGGCACATCTATTTGGTGAGTATCACTATTTTTGGCTAAAATGTTGTACCATCTAAATATCCCAGATGGACTTGAGATCTCAGTGTGGCTTTCACACTTTGGCCCGTGTAGTTAACTCTTAAACCAGCCTTGCCTGTGGCTCTGTCCCACAAAGGAGGTTGACTGCATTTTATGTTTCTGGTTAATGAAGTGCAGCAGTTACACCCAGCAGTTACAGTCAGGGTGAATTCAGCCCATGACCATATAATTTGAAAGCAGCCTCCATTAGCTCTTTGATACCACAAGCCTTCAAAAGTCAAGTGAATGGCCTTGAGATATAGTATAAATTCATCTGTGTTGTGCTTCAGTGAAAGGAATATTTTAATAATTAAGGCTATCATGTGGCTCTTTTGTAGTGTGTTTGTGGAAGGCTCTCAGTCTTCTTCCCAAGCATTGTGTTCAAATGCCTCCATGAACCAGACATAGTCATCATTCTCCCGATGTTACGAAAAGGAGAATTGAAGTACAGAGACACTGAGGCACTTGCCCAAGGTTAAACTGCACATCAGTGACAGAGATGCACTCTGGGGTTTGGCACTTGAAGCGTGCAGCATAAGCCTGGCTGCTGATCCTAACCACCAAGAGCTCTGTTATCTCACAGCCTCCAGGGACAGATCACTGGCTGCTTGTAGGCTCCCCATCCAGCCCATCTTTGTTGTCCCTTGTATTTCCTCTCTCCCAGCTGTTCCCAAACTTTCTAGGTATGCAACCCCAATCCTAGGTTTACAACCACACCTTGTGGTACAAGCCTGATTTTTCCAGTAGCATTTCAGGACCCATTTGGGACTGTGATCTCTAGTTTAGGAACCACTGCTCTATTCCTTCAAAGCAGGCCACAAATGTCTTTTATCCAGCATCACTTTGGCTACAAACTTCAGGGTAGGCCTTAGCACCTTCTCATACTCCCAGCCCCCTCCTCCCCCCCACCTCCAGCAGCACAGTCCCTTTCAGAGTTGAAAAGCTGGCAACCTTGTTCCTGTAGACAAATCTGGGCTTGCAACACTGGTCACTGCAAATGGCAGCAGGACGGAGCCTGCAAGTGTCAATGGATTCCACAGAGCCACTTACTATCCTGTTTGGGTGTAAATCTCTGGGAGCAGACCCAGTCCGAGGAGTAGCCGTTCGGTGCCATGGCCTGCACTCTGGCGTAGTACTGCTCAGTGTAGTTTTCCGTCTCATGCGAGAGGTTACAAAAGGGCTGTGAGATGTTCTGGCACTCGGTTTTGTTGAGCCATTCTTTCTCCCCATATCTTAGAGAAGACAAAGTGAATGCTTTCAATCTGCCATATGAAATCAATCCTATATAGTCCCTAAATATTTAAGAACTGAATTTTATAAGCATGAGTGCACTCTGCCTCACAGTGTGCATGTGAAGTGTCATTTCCACCTCTGCCATTATACAGATGGAGAAACCGAGGCACAGAAAGGAAATGACTCACCCCAAAGTCAGTAGCCAATCCAGGACCCAGATGACATAGATTCCAGACTCAAAGTGGTTTTGAACCATCTATGAATGAATCGGTATGCATACTTGGGGCATAATTTCTGGGTCTTTTAAAAGTCCTTTTTTCAGATTCTGATGAGAGCCAGTCACTTTTCTTACATCTTCTACTGACAGTCGTACCTTTTGCATTTACAAACCATCAGTAACATGGAGGCAGTGGTAAATATAGGTAGTTCACAAACTCCACTGGGGCAAAGGTATTGAACTAGGCAGCATTTTTCAAACTGAATCCTTCCTTCACCAAAAACTGCAGTTGCATTACACTGAAACTCTTTGCTATTGGTGCTGGCTTGGGCCAAGAGTTTAAAAAAAAGGAAAATAAGTTTTTGCAGCAAGTAAAGTGCTTTTTAAAAACAGGTTGCTTCCACATTTTTAAATGAAACAATTTGGCATTTCATTCACCATATTTCCAGATTAATTTTAGTTAAATTTAATGTTAAAATAAAGGGCTAAAAATGCCCAAAAAAGATTCTTTCATCTGCACCAAAACAACATTTTCTTGGTTTTCACTTCAGTGAGACAAACCAGAAAAAAAAGTTTCAGACTGATCTGCAAATAAATGTCTTTCTTTGATCTGTCTGCGTTTCCAAAACAAAACAAGACAGAAAACCCTTATTGTTCCCTTAGCCATACAATAACCTTAAGCACTGTACAGGTCTCACTGGATGTTTGCAACCTGCCCAGGACACAGCTGGACCCCAAATATATGCCCACAAGCACAGGCAGCTGGTTTGCTAGGTTCTGGTACTCCACGAATCAATTCAGACTCAGGCTTTTTGAATGTCTGTCCCTAGTTTTTAGATCCCTCATCGCTCCAGCTGCCTTTGCGCTTGGGATGGCAGACCTGAGATGTACCCCAAAGTAAAGCAGCTGTAGTTCTCAGAACCCAGGGGTTGCTGTTTTTCTGCATATGGGCCAGTGACGTTAGCAAAGGAGCACTGTGGGGTTCTCATCCCAGAATATGGGCAGGTGGGAGATTCTTTCGGAGTGCTTAAAGCAAAGGATGACAAGGTTATTTGGGTGAATCTGATATCTTTTATTAGACCAACTAAATGGTTGGAGAACAATTTTTAAGCAAGTTTTCGGGTTCAAAAACCCTTCATCAGGCTAAGGAAGTTTCAGCAGTTGAGGTGTGCTCTTCCTGGATGGAATTAAAAGGAAAGGATGGGTCTAGCTAGCAGGAACCAACACCCTCCTGGGGCCTCTCCATAATCCCACCAGGCCCAGATCCTAAGATTGTCATTTGTTCAAGGCAGACTTATCTTACTTCTCAGTTCCCTCCAAACAAAGGGCAGCCGTACCTTTCCCTCCTCCTCCTGATCCAAGGGCAGCTGTTCCAGCTCCCTGCTGCTTTTGCATTGATTGTTATAATTAAAGAACAGCTGGGTACTAAAAACTTAATAAGCTGCCCCTTGCTTCTCATGCCTGATTAGAAAATCTGGATGAGTCCTGCCTGCAGAAGGTGTTGCCTGCTGTTACAAGCCTGCAGTAGAGGGTAGCCTGGGAGCCAGGACTTGTGTGCCCTGTTTCTAATTTTGCCCCAAATTGTCATGTTGAAATGTTCTGTTGCCATTTGTGCAAAATGCAGAGAAGCCACTTGAGTCCTGTGAATCCTTGGGACTCTCACAGTTTGTGGGAAGCAACAGATGACCTTTGAAGGAGTCTTCTTGTCAAAGAATCACTTCACCTGGCATTTTTTGCTTGCTCTGTTAGGCCAAGGGAGTGTCCCTTGCTGGGCTGGAGAAGGCACGGCATATCCAGTTATGGTGGGGGGGCAGAAACACGAGCTCTTCTCTGGGAGCAGAAAGCAGGCTTGCAGGAAAACTGACAATAATGCGAAGTCCCTGTGTGTGCGGCTGGTGTAGAACTATTTGCCGTGTTTCAAATCTGGCTCTCAAACATCCCTCCTGAGTGCACTGTTAAACTCTTCTGGGGTTTGACGGGAAGAAGTTATGTGCCCATTAGAATTGGCTGAAAAAGGAGTACACAATTTCATGAAGCCAAGTTTCTGGATATTGCTGAAATCATGCTTTTGCCCAGGTTTTCCAACTGTTTCCCCTCCTGAACAGTGTTTTACTTGTTACAGCCCATTCCTCATCTCTGTAGCTCAAATCACTTGTTAAAGGCAGGTCACTAGCATTATTTGCATTTTACCAACAAGGTAACTGAGATAGAGAGAGAGAAGGGACACAGGTGAGTGGCAGAACAGGGACTGGGACTGCATGCCCAGGCTGCTAGCTTCCAGCCCATTCCCCATTGTCAGCTGGGCCATACTTTTGTCTCCAGAGCAGCTTAGTGACTTTTCTTAACATATGGCAGGGGTAGGCAAAATGTTGCCGGGGGGGGCCAGATGTGGCCCGCAGGGCCCCTAAAAAATCTAGAAAATTAATATTTATCTGCCCTGGGCTGCCTGTCATGCGACCCTCAATGGCTTGCCAAAACTGAGTAAGCGGCCCTCCGCCCAAAATAATTGCCCGCCCCTGACAAAAGGTCACCTTTCAGCTGAGATGAACTCCAAGACCCTGTTCTTTTGCTTAGGTTCTGTTCCAAACAGCCATTTTGGTGGCAGTAAAGCAAGCAGCAATTAGCAGCCAAGCCCGCTTTTCTAGCTCAGGCCTTTTTTCTCAGGAAGCATTGGTCTTACAACCTGTTCAAACAAGTCACCAAGGAAGACACAAACCCTACGTACTGTTTGTACTGGACATTGTACACTGTGCCTGGAGGTATCTCGCCTTCAGTTTCCCACTTCAGGATGTTCTCGAAGTTTGTAGAAAAAAAGTCTGCATGTTTGAGAAGCAGAAGTGGTGATCTCTCTGCAGTCAGACAGCCTGGGGGAACAAAGGAGCTATTACTAAAATGCAGAATCCAGGTCACAACCCAGGGGTTTCCAGCTTTGACACGGGTTTCAAAGGCTGTCCCAGGCATGGATGCAGTATGTATCAGTGGGTCAAAGAGTGAAAACTAGATTTTCTTGCTTACACTAACTGGAGGTGAGCTGAGCATCAGGGGTTTGGCTCTGGGTTGGCATTAGGCCAGGGTAGAGGCCAATGAACTTCTCTTGCTGAGAGGAGCATGGATTGTCCATAATGCTGAATACAGGATGATTATATAGAGAGTGTTACTCAGAGGAATCACTGAACAGCCTGAAAAATGGACTCTGGCCTGGGAGTGTCTGCATAAAAGCAGATAATTCTCTGCCCATGTGTATTCTGGTGACTTCCCTGGGCTCAGAGATTTCTCCAGCCTAGGCTTTGCAGCCATGGAAGTCAGTTATCCCTTGTGAACGTGCTCAAAAAAGTTGTATCTGCCTCTGCGCATCAACTGGGAAGAACGCTGGCACGAGCCTCTAGGCTTTGAACAGCGCTTTGAGACAAATATTTCCATGCCTTTTGGCTCCTGTCTTGTGGTTACCCTCATGCAAACGTACAATGCACCTCTAGGTGCGGTGGCCTGTGTTTTCAAAAGTAGTTGGTGATTTTAGGTCCCAAAACCTGGGACATTTTAGAGAGGCCTAATTTTCAGAGGGCACGTATTCAGCACATGCTGAAAATCAGGCTTCTTTAAAACCTTGAAAGTTAGGCACCCAAAAATCCCTACTCATTTTTTAAAACTTAGTCTTGTAGGTTTTATTTAATTGGTCTGTTATAGGCACCTCCTAAAAAAAAATGAGAGCATTTTGGATGGAGAAGTTTTCTTTGAAATCTGAAGCAGATCACTGTTTTTTGTTTTGCATTCCCAAACCATTTTAATTTCTTTCCCATCCAACTACGCAGAAGTAGCCAGAATATATTCCGAACCATTCCTACATTTGGGGGTTTGTTTTTAGAGTTAGAATAGAGCTGGAAGCCAGTCTTAGCTCTGCAAGGCAACATTTTCAAAAGCAGCCTGTAAGCCTAAGTGTCTCAGTTCTGGACACTCAGTGTGCCCCCAGTTTTCAGAACTGTTGATCACCCAGAGCCTCCTCCCACCCAGTTCAGCTGCACTGGGGACTTTCTGCATGTGTGAAAAAATTATGCCTTTAAATTGTCAGGCCATCAGAATTGGTGAGTGTTTTGGAACAATTTGGCCTAAATAAACCCCTGTATGGTTGTCAATTAGCGGCAAACCCATTTTACAGATGAGGAAACTGAGGGTCAGGGGAAGTTTTTGACTGGGCAAACATCACGGAGAGTTTGTGGCAGAGCCAGGACTAACACACAACTGTTCCTGCCTCCTATCTCATGCCTAACCCCCAGCTGCCTCTGTGTCAGTAGGGTTCTGCCAGCGTAAACACCACTGCATGTGTGAAGAGAATCCAGGCACAAGATCTGGATCCAGCTCTCAATCCTGATCGCCAGGTTATATGGGTTTGGGCACATTGCTGTCATATCACCAAGGGCATGAAAGGTGTGGTTCCATGGAAAGGAGGTGGCCTGCAAACAGAAATGTCTCTAAGATGGAGCCAAAGCAACAAGGAAACATACTCACAATGAGTGATAAGGAAGTGGAACTGGGCCTCAGACCAAGCAAATTCTGCCCTGACTGGCGCTGCCATTCAGCCCCATGCCAAGAGTGTCAGCAGGGTCTAGCACAATGATCCTGTCTAGGGCACTGCTGTATCACAAAGCTGCGGTAACATGGGTATTGGAGGAGCCCACGTGGGCAGGGTGCAGTCCCAAATGTTCCCCAGTCTGAAACACCCATGCGCCCCTATTGTTTTCTCTTGCCCCTTTCCCTGCATTTCCCTGCTTTCCTGGGCTCAGATCTAAAGCCTAATGAAGTCAGTTATTGCTGTCTTTCATTGATTTTGACAGGCTTGGGATCAAGCCCACGGGAGCTCCGAAAGGTAGGGATCAAGTCATCTGTTTATGAATCCGTACAGCACGGGACACTCCAGGGGCCCTGTGGAAATAACTAGCTAGCAAATAACCCTGTTTGCAAAGAGCGTAAAAAGCAGTCTGGAGAGGAGCTAACTATCTGTGTCTCATTCCAAGCGAGTCAAGTGACTGCCACCTGTTCTGTGAGACCCAGCCTTGCTAGGCTAATCCTGCTACAGCTGAACAATCAAGGTTAGTAAAGCCTCTGGTTGAAAAGAAGCAAAAGCCAGTACTTACCCAACAGGGAACATATGGTCCAAAAGATCAGCGCCTTCTTCATGAATAACTCTGTAAGCTGGAACGCAAGCTCGGGCAGTGGTTCCCCAGCCCAGGTGAAGCACTTCTGAAGGATGAAAACTCCTTGCTGCTTTGAGTTTGGTCTATGCTGGTTGCCCCGTAACAGGCTGCAAAACTACTGGCCTGTTTGCATTCACATTTGAGCTAGCTCACCATGTCAACGCTGCGTTTGTGCGCCTCTCTGTGCGTGTGCAGGTATGTGTGTGAGAGGAAGCAGTTGAGCTCCCGATGCCTTTCGCCCGCTGGGTACACACACCTCAGTGCAAAGGCGCAGGAACTGGCAGGCTAGTAGATTCTCAGGTTTCTGAACTAGAGCCAGCAGCCTGCTCCCTGGTAAGGAACTTCCTGCCTAGAAATCCTTGCTAGCCTTTCCCACTTCTGAACCTTGCTTTTCTGGTCTGGTGACTCTGCTCTCTCATACTTTAAAAGGTAAAACCTGTGTGTGCGCATGTGTGGAATTGTATAACCATTGCAAACAATGCTCCTTGTTCTTCGAGAAGCACCTTTGGGTGCTTCCTTAAACCGGAAGTCACCCACGCTCCCAGTTCACAAGCTCTGATGCTGTTATAGCCAATGTACATGCTGAGCCCTTCCCCATCCTGGTTGGAATCTGAACTACAACAGTGTGTCTTGACCTCTATATTAACGGTTAGTCTTTAAGGTGCTTCCCTGCCCTGCTTTTTACATCAGTGGTGCTCAACCTTTTGGTGCTGTAGGCCTGATGAGTAGCACAGTCTTTATCTAACCTAAAAGACTTTAACCCTGGGAAAGTTCACAGGCATAGTCTATGGTGTGGGAGCTCCCCCGTCACTGCACGTGAATTTTAAGGGGACCATTGCTCCTAGTCCTATCTCCTCCAGCCACAGAGAATAGTCTACATCCATCATCTTTATAACCATCCTTCAGGTATTAGAAGACCATTCTCAAATCCCACCTCAGTTTTCTCTTCTCCAGACTAAACAATCCTAGTTCTTTCAGCTTTTCCTAGTAAGTCGTATGTCTCAGACTTCTAATAATTTTGGTTGCTCTTTGCTGGACTCTTCCTAATTTGTCCACATCTTTCTTGAAGTGCAGGGCCCAAAACTGGACATAGAACTCTAGGTGAGGCCTCAGCAGTGATGAACAGAGTAGGAGAATCGCTTCCTTTGACTTGCAAGTGATATTCCTGTTCATACAACCCAGTATGCTCTTGGCTTTTTTGCAACAAGAGCACATTGTTGGCTCATATTCAGATTATAAACTACTGTGACCCTCAGATCTTTTATTTTTGCAGCACTGTAGCCTAGCCTGCTGTTCCCCAGTCCGTATTTGTGCTTGCAGTTGTTCCATCCTAAGTGCAGAACTTTGCCCTTGTCCTTATTAAATATTATTTAGTCGAGTTTGGACACTTTCTCCAGTCTGTCCAGGTCATTCTGAAGTCGAGCCCTACCCTCCAGTGTCTGGAATTCCACCCAACTTGATGTCATTTGCAAATTTGTTAAATGTGTGCTCAGGCTAATCCTCCAAACCATTAATGGCAATATTAATCAATATTGGGCCCAGGGCAGGCCCCTGGGGAATCCCAGTTGATACCTCCTTCCAACTGGACCTTAAGTCATTGTTGACTTCTAGTTCAGCATGATGATCCAACCAGTTGTGTATTCACCTTACAGTACTTCTATCTAGTCTGTATTTCCTTAGCTTCCCAATGATGAATTCATGCTGGCTGTTCCTGATCACCTTGTTCTCCTCCAGGTGCTTAGAAAAAGATTCTTTGAGATCCTGCCATATGATCTTTCCTGTTGTCAGGGTCCAACTGACTGGTCAGTAATTCCCCAGGTCCTCCTCCTTCCCTTTCTTAAAGATGAGCACTACACTTGCCCTGTTCTTATCATCTGTGGCCTCACATGACAACCATGAGTTTCCACGAATAAGATGCAAGCTGTGGCCCATGGCCAGGCAGTGCCTCTGCTGCACTGAAAATCTTCTGCATCTCTTTTATCTCACTGTGCCATCAGGTTCATTAAACAAGACCCATCTATTCATCAGCACAGCATGTCTTATCAGATAGGGCCTTTGTTAAGGTGTCCCCTGGCTGAAGCCTGCAAAATTGTTTCCATCTTTCTTCCCCTCAGAATTCCAGTTACCATCCTATGTTGACAGCCGCTTATCACTGGTCCTGACCCTTATTAGTACATGGATGAAGGTGATTGCACTAGTTCTCTGTAATTCTGTCATTATCTGAAAGGCTTTGAGAATACCACCTACTTTGCTTATTTCTACCCCCATTCCTGCCCTCTCACAATAGGTTTCTCTTCAGGTAGGCAAAGCCAGATCTGTTTAAAAGTATTTAGGTGTCTAACAGTGCAGAGATGTGAGTTGTGGAGTTCTCTAAAAGTGTGCCTAATTCACACTCTCAGGTATCCAGGTTGTAGCTGTATTGGTCTAGAGAAAGAAGCAATCAAAACTCGTGGTAGAGGTGATACCTTTTATTAGACCAGCTAGATTTTTGCAAAAAAAAAAAATTCTTTTGACGGTAATAGGATGGGGGGTTTGGAGGGCCGGGCTGGGCAACAGGACAATGGGAGACAAGGGAGCCGCAGCCCACGGGCAACGGCCTTCTGGGCCCCTCTGCGGAGAGGGAGTCAGGGTGAAACCCCTCTCCGTCCCGGGGGCCGCGCACAAACACCCTTCTTCAGGCATCGGAGAAAAGATTGTAAAAGTTCTCCTGGGTAGAAATGAAAGTTCATGTTTCATAGGTGAGTTGAAGGTGTGGTAAAATCTCCTGTTTGGAACAGTTTGTTTTAGATGCAGATTAGACTCAGACAAAAGTTGGAATAGTCTGTTTACCTTGGAGTTGTGCGGTGGGAAGCAGGATGTAGCCATATGTCCTTCTGGTTGTGGTGTTTCATGTTTCGCAGAGGAGTAAACAGATGGAGTGCTCTCCTAGGAAGGCATTTCTTACCTGGCGAGGTGTCTCTGAGCTCTGTGGTCAGGCTCTGTGATGATGCAAATTGCCTCCAAGAAAGGCAGGAGCAGGAGCTCAGGTTTCAGGTGGTCAAACTTGCTTCCTCCTTGTAAAATTATGAAGATTTCATTTTAAAAAATCGTCTAAAATTCGATATCTTCGATAAAGCTTGCAACTCGATAAAGCCTGCAATTAAAGACATTTTTTTGCAAAAGTCTGGTTGGTGTAATGAAAGATTATTACCATGAGTCCTGATTGCTTTTTCCTTTTGAGCAATATGACTAGAATCTAGATACCTGACACATGGAAGATATCGAATTTTAGCTGATTTTTTAAAATGAAATCTTCATAATGGAACAAGTGGCATTTAAAGCACAGCTTTCTGTGGGACACCGCTTAGAACTTGGCACCAAGGGGGAAAGGGCAAGAAATCCTGTGTTCTGCAGATTTTGCTGTTGATAGATTTTAAGGCTAGAAGGCTTGATTGTGATGCAGCTCTGCCCTCCTGCCTAGCAAAAGCCAGTAAAGGTCACTCAGTATGCAGTAATTAACTGTACTGAGCCCAATAACTTGTGAACCAAGAACGCCCAGGAGTTCTGACTGCTGGGCCCTGTGCTCTGTCTACAAGGCTAACTTCCCTTCCGCAGTATGGGCGAAATGCCCCTTGGAAAACAAAGGGTTTTCAGAGCAAAGACGACCATCTAATGTGTAATTGCAGAGCATCCCAGCCCAGAGTCTCTCTCTGAGTGTGGCACAGGGTCAGGGAGCCTGTCTAGAGAGGCACCAGCTTCAGAGAATCTGTGGCTAGGGTGGAGCTGGATTCAGGAGCCTGCAATGACAGGACTACTGCACTATATTTCCTCAGGTCAGTTTTATCCTGATGCAGAAGAGAAAGCATTTTTAGATCTCATTTTTTTATTTGTAAGACAGAAAACCCATTTTTTGCTCACCTGAGCTTGTGACTGCTCATGCCTGCTCTACCCATGTTTCAAAACCCCTCAGAAAGAACACAGATGCCAATGCTTATTCTCTGGGGACACTGGCAGGGGCAGGGGCTGGGGTGAATGGGGCCCCAGGGTAGGTTGTGGGATGCTCAGAGCCCAGGAGCCTTGTCCAGGGGTGCAGGGGGGCTCCCACCATTGTGTACACCTTGGGAGAGGCCCAGGGGGCACATGCCCCCCAGATTTGTCTGCAGGGCAGAGGCAGGTTGCTGTTATGGCATGGGCTCTGTGCCCCACTGCCGCTGTCTAGGGTTTGCCAGTCTAGGGTGGCTGGATAGTCCATGAGTGGTGGCATGGGGGCAGGAGTTAGAGGGCTAAAAATAACCTGGGGTCAGGGGGTGGGGGCTAGGAAAAGAGCAGCCCCGGAGCTGGCTGGGAACTTCACAAAAGTTCAGTTAGATCGGTCTTGTCAGGCCTGAGCTAAGTTAAACCGCTTTAGAAGTAGGGTTAACTTTGAACCTTGTTGGCCATTTTTAAACCAATCTAAACTTCCTGAACTTCTGTACAGTTCACAATTAGATCCCTAGTTAAGTCAGTCTAAGTGTAAGGTCCGCATCTGGGTGAACTAAGTTAGATCAGGTGACCATTTTAACTCAATCTATCCTCCCCTAACTTCCCTGAACATCTATCCCTAGCCTGTCTGCCCGGCAGAGCCCCACCTCCCGGTTAACATGTGGTAGCACCTGTGCCCTCAGCAGCAGTGCCCAGCTCACTGCCCACACAACCCCGCCAAAAGGCAAGATACCCAAACCTGACCATAAAGCCCAAACCAAGCAGACACACACTCCTGAAGCTACAAGGCTTCACCCTCCTCTCTCTGCTGTGTTCAGGAGGAGAGAAGCAACAATAGCCAGAAGAACGCAGAACACAATTTATTATCAAACACATACACACACGGGAGCTCGCTTTTCCATGGAGCAGGGCCTCAGACACACAAACAAAGTGATGAAATGATATGGGGCAGGGTACGCCCATGGTTTTCCTCCTTTTGCAATGGCCTGCCCCAAGGGATTTTAGAAATGGCCTCTGTGACCCGAGATGTGACTTGGACCTCTGTGACTTGGACCTCCTGAGATGTGTCCTTTTCCAGAGTTTGCAGAGCCGGAAGGAGAGAGGGAGACGTTAATGAATAGATGCTTCCACCTCAGGGGAACACTGGTCACACGTGCTGGCAGCGCCAGAGCAAGGTCTTCCCTGGGGAACGGGGCTCAGGCGTGATGTGTGGGTGGGCAGTGCACAATGGATGCAGTGTTGCTCCCTTCATCTCATCACCAGTGCCTCGAACAGCTACAGACTTGTGGTCCCTCTGGGTCCCAGCTACAGAAACTCTCCCACACAGATGTGGCTGTGACTCCTCCATTGGGAGCTTCCTGCATTCCCAGCTGAGGGGAGATGCTGGTTCTGCTGGGCACTGAGCAGATTTGCTGCCC